GGGGCAATTTTCCATGTTCAGGACCCTGGGCTCTTACCCGCATCAATACAGTATATTTAAATTCTGGGTCAATTTGAATTGGATTAAATATAAAAGGACATGCATCAAAAGCCCCTTTATGTTCTTTGTAAGTACTGAGTTTAGAATTTATGCATGGATGTGAGGTTATTACAAGGATACTCTGTAAAGTATGCACGAAGACATACAGAAGTATCGACTGTATAGCAGGAGTATCGACTGACACGCAGCGGAGGTCAATGCGAGGGAATAGTCTCTGAATGCATACTTTACAATATCCTTGTAATAACCTTATTATTATACATCTTTTCCTCACAATGATACATCATGGAAATGCCGAAACCCAAAAAGTTTAGAACAGAATCAGTGAACTTCTTTGTGTGGAGTCCAGTCAAACCCTGGTGGCAGCCATGTTTGTTTTTATTATTAGAAAACACTTACGGGCGTATTCATTCCATATTTAGAATTTGTATTTCCTAATATGGTAGGATGAAAAATGCAAAATTACGGCACGCTGTAACTTATGGCGTTATGGTGACATATGTATAATAAAATACTTTATTTCAAGTTATTGAAAAACAAAACCATAACAGGCGACCTGGAAAGAGATCTGTGTACATTCATGTATCACATACTTTACAACGGTGACCTGGAAAGTATAACAGCAAACTTAAGAACAGTGCTCTTATACTGTTTGAATCAAATTGGACAATGCATGAGGAAAACCTGAAATACATGCATGGATGCAGATACCTTTTTTCAGACTATTTATTTTAACTGTAAATCAGAATCTGCTGAACATCTTTTATGGCTTCGAAAGTAATCTTTTACCATCTTCTTGGCATGATTCTTCACTGTAAAAAAAATTTTAAAATTAGTCAAAACTGATGATTAAGGAGAACTATTTGGGACTATCACCTTATCGTTGGTTGGGGTGGTCGCACGCTTCAGTGACCAGGAGAGCTGTGCCGTCTGAAGGCTTGTACTCTTGGTAGGATCACCCAAAGAGGAAAAGTTGATTGGTAGAAGCCGAATGAATTATAGTCCTCTGGCCCTCCAAGTTGGGGGTTGGGCTATATTCCGATAACAAAGTGATTATTACAGAACACAGGAGCCGAACGAATACTACTGAACCTAACAATTTTGGGGAAGCCATGACCACTCCTTACCGAAGTGAGATTAGGATGCGTCTGGGTGAGAACCGAGGGGAATCTCAAGATTCA